AGGGAGATGGGAAGGGGAAATGGGAGATATGTAAAAATGGGAAAGTTTCGTTGGAAGATTGTCAACAATAAAACTATAGTGAAAACATCTCCTTCCTTGGGGTGTGTTGCTAAATACTAATAGAGACAGTTGAGTGGAAGACTTTGGAAGATAGGCCTAATAATAATAATAATATTGTGGTCAGAGAAAATAAGTAGAGAGACAAACTTTTATTTAAGAAACAAATGTGTATAGCCTTCCTTACCTTGTCGATTGCTGTCTCCTGTGTGTGCAAACGTTCTCCCTATCCCGACTCAAGATAAATGTCCAACTGCTCAAACTACCGCTGCCTTTTCCAACCAACCAACTATAAAACAACCGTTCCGGCACAAGAAAACCCCCCCAGCTAAGTAGGCCAACCCGGATACAAAACTACGCAATATCTAGGTTGAACCGGACCGAAAAAAAGCCCCTGCTCGAGGTGCAGCTTTTGTAAAGGGAAGACCTGGCGTAAAATAATAACGAGAACGTCTCCGTCTTCTTAACCAATCATATTGCTCCTCTCTCTCTCTCTCTCTCTCTCTCTCTCTCTCTCTCTCTCTCTCTCTCTCTCTCTCTCTCTCTCTCTCTCCCCCCTCTCTCTCTCCTCTCTCTCAAGAGAAGGGACGTCCGTGTTTTTCTCCACATTCCCCTTAAGTGGCCACAGTTCCGGGACGCTTGACCAAGCCTCCATCAACAGCTGATGATGAACACTGTCACACTGTCGCATCTCGGTTACAAAGAAAGATACTTTTATATGGTTGAGTTTTTCAGGTTGATTGCTATGACGTTTATCCAGTCTGTTCCTTTCTTCGGTGATTTAGAAGGGCATGTAATGGGTATAAACCAATGTGTTAAAAGAAAGCTGTCTCATGTCAGTCGCTACTTTAGAATTACAAAGTTCTCTCTACTCAGTAACTTGTTTTGAGAAATGTGACGTAAGAAATGTAGAGTTTCAAAACATTTCAAGCTTATTTGAATGTAATTCTTTGAATATCTTGATAACGACTCAGAATAATTTTACAATTTTTTATAGAGCACATAGAATATTTAATACGTTTCTGACCTCATGGTCAAAAAAGGCAGATAAAACTTTGAAAGTCTAGGTTAGCGAGTTGTTAGGTACATGTATATTATTAGTCATCCAATGTTTCAGCCATATGGCTAGTATTCTAGCCAAACGATGTGACATGCCGGTTATCCGGTATTTCAGTTATCCGGTATGACAATTGCCCGGTATGTCAGTTGCTTGATATGTCAGTTGTCCAGTAAAATATTATTAATGATATTATTATCCACAGTGCAAGGAATACTCATGTGAACTCGGATGTGGTTTTCCTTGCAAATTCATCGTTCTGTCTGTCTGTCTGTCTGTCTGTCTGTCTGTCTGTCTGTCTGTCTGTCTGCCTGCCTGTCTGTCTGTCTGTCTGTCTCTCTCTTTCTCTCTCTCTCTCTCTTATTCTTTTCCTGCCCTCCCTCTCTTTTTCCTTATCTCTTGTCTGTCTCTCTTTCTCCCTCTCTCCCTCCCCATAGATCTATCTATTTTTCTATATATCTGTCTGTTCATTTATGCATGTATCTATCTCTAACTATCTACCCATCTTTGCAAGCGAGCGCGAGTATGCAAGCAAACTCGCGTTCATGTGTGTGAGTATGTGTGTGTGTGTGTGTGTGTGTGTGTGTG